ATTGCTGGAGAGCCCCCCAGACGGCCGTCGTGCGTACGGCTCTACTTTTGTCCACTACGTTCCCGGCATCTTACTAGTATAAGCCCGCCTCAGAAAAGGAACTCACGAATGCGGCCGCAATCATGAAATCAATCACGGGTGTTTCATAGTCCATGGTCGTCAAGCTAGCTGCTCACAACAAGGGTGCATGCAAGTGAGCCGCTCCTTTCTGCAAACCGCTGAGTCTATCCGAAGACATAAGAGTCGTGATACTTTCATCGGCAGCTGAAGCTCCCAGACGGGGCGGAGAGCTCTTGCACAAGGACCCCTCTGTAGTGGAAGCTGCAGCCTTCAAAGAAATAGACCCCGGGTGGGGGGGTTTGGGCCTGACTGAAATCCTTGAGATTCCAATTGCGGCGCCGACAACAATCATACAATCAAGAGTTCCCCCATCCCAAGTTTGCGTCGGGACAGGTCTCTCGGCAAAAGCTACGTTGCATCGCAAAGGACAATTTTGTCCACTACGTTCCCGGCATCTTACTAGTATAAGCCCGCCTCAGAAAAGGAACTCACGAATGCGGCCGCAATCATGAAATCAATCACGGGTGTTTCATAGTCCATGGTCGTCAAGCTAGCTGCTCACAACAAGGGTGCATGCAAGTGAGCCGCTCCTTTCTGCAAACCGCTGAGTCTATCCGAAGACATAAGAGTCGTGATACTTTCATCGGCAGCTGAAGCTCCCAGACGGGGCGGAGAGCTCTTGCACAAGGACCCCTCTGTAGTGGAAGCTGCAGCCTTCAAAGAAATAGACCCATATCCACTCGTGACCCGCGCACCACTCAGCAAGTGCATACTCACGCAGCTCGTTTTGCAGCGCTTCGAAATATCCACGCTGCGCATGGCAGAAGCACGACCATGACGATGAAACACCCACATCCCCGAAGGTCACAAAACATACGGAATAAATACCACGCAATCGGCCAATGCTGCAGCACAAAAGAACCGCAAGCCGCCCACCAGCGATGCCATGCACTCAGAGGAGCAGCATCTTCGGCGAAAAGGTCCCACGAAACATTCACGGCTGGAATGTGCGCAAGAACTTGATGCAAGCTTTCAAGAATTTGATCATGTTCAGCTTCCAAGTTCATGGCCAAAAGCTCCCACACAGGGTTGGCCCATTGTGGCACGAAATCAACCGTGAACGTTTCAAACTCCATAATGAGCATGCCCGACGAATGCAGTAAGAGGTTGCTCCGGTAGCTCTCGAAACTGCCGTTGAGGCGCACATCATGGTCGTGTAAAGTGAGAAAAGGCATGTCAGCGCTGATGTGGTATACGTTTTTGTGCCACTGGTGCAGCATTGTCGAGCGATTCAAGCGCGTCGCGGCCCGCCCCTCCGGTGAGACCAGCCAACCTGCCAGCGTGTCGTGGCGGGCGGCGGCTACACGCCCACGCACTCGATGAGCATGGACATCAATGAGGTCCACACCCCGCCAAGCTGCCTCAGCAGCGGTTAATGTAGTGGTGGTCATGCCCACGGCCGCTGAGGACAATACTGTGGTTAGCTCCGTCCCTTTGGACACCACAGTGGCCGCCGCTTGACCCACTGCTTCTGAGACCAAAGCTGCGGAGCCCAGAATGTTGACGAGATGGTGTACCCCGCCATGGTTTCCGAATTAGCAAAAACAGGAAACTCGACATTCTGCCCCAAAGCATTCGAGGCAAACGGGGCCATTTGAACCACCGCGAAGCGGAACTACGGCGCTTGCGGCCGGGGCCGCCGTGGCGGGGGTTTTGGTCCGCGGCCGCGGCCCTTGGCAGAACCGGTGGGCTTGGTGATTTGGGGCTCGGGGGCCTGAGAACCCCCGTGCTCCACCTTGGCTTGGTCGCGGGAGATGTCACTGGACCTGGAGTCGAACTCCGCTTCCTGCCAAGTCGTCGGCCATTGGTAGGGTGTGCGGAGTTCGCGACGGGAGCGTGCTTTAGTCCCGGAGCGGTCTCCATGCGCCTCAGCCAGCAAAGCACGCACAGGGAAGTAAAGGAGCAAATGCGCACTGACATACACCATCACGGCTGATAAATGTTGCAATCGCATAGCCGTGCCAACCTGTGCTGCTGTAATTGGGTCAATGTACACTCTGAACGAAGTCTCGCTGGCCCAACGCCCCTCCCGCCTTACAATTGCGGGGTCCTCGCCTGCAGCGATCCGCTCGCTGGCAAACCCGGCACGAGGAGAATGAGGAGTGTACCCAATCACTACCCCTAAATCGCGCTCCACCTGCTTGAAACATCGCAAGTAAAAAGCGTAGCTGTATGGGAACAGTTTTTCTCCTTGCCGTGTGCATGCAATCAAACGCCTCATCAGCTCGATCATTTCAGCATGTTTGTGCGGGTACAACAGCGCAAACTGTTCTCGCTTGGCTTTGGTTCCAACAGCTGTACCGAGTCTGATGACAGTGTTATCCGATGCTCTGTAAGGCAACAAAATAGACCAGGTTGTCAATGCCAACAGCTCAGAAGGCCGCAAGCCACATGTTTGTTGTAAAATCACTCCCACGCCCATTCGCGGGAAACCCATGTTCACAAAATATGCGGCCCATAGCTTTGCAGGTTCGGATAACATAGGCACTTTGTGATTGATGGGTTGTGAGCGTTCATAGCCCTCCGCAACTGCACGTGACCAAATTAGGGGCTTGAAACGTGGGAAGAAAAACTCGACGGCACACATAGTCGTGACAAAACGTGATTTGCCAATGCTACATGCCTCTTTCCATTCCACCAACAAAACATAAAACTCCTCTTGTTTAGAAGGTGAATACCGGGCTTCGTCCAACCACTGAACAAAAACTGCAGCGTGTCGCTGATAAGTTGATAACGTCTTGGTGCTGACCCTGGCGGCCTGATGACGATCAAGCCTGCGGGGGCCGCAACAACCTTTGCCTCGGAATATACTCATGTTGTCTAGAAAGCATGTCTGCCGGCATCATTGCCGACTCCACCCATGGTAAAAAGAGCCGAATAGCTGACACCAAAAGTGATGACGTTTTCATTCGCCACAAACGGTTGAGAGGCCACGATGTTGATCGCCCCTTTGCGTGTGACCATGCACACGGTTGATTGTCTTGCAAGATGATAACAAAGTGCCTGTGCGCAGACGGTCTCACACTAAGCAGTCGGGCCAATCTCACGACAGCTCTGGCTTCGCCAAGCGTGATATGATCTACGGTTTTCCAGCGTCTCCAAGACATTGGAAGCCACCGAGCCTGTCCGTCGTCTTGGAATACTTCAGGGGGCAGTAATGAAAAAGGCTTGGAAGCTTTAATCGGACGTTCGGGGAACTTCAAACCAGTGAAATCTCCAGAAAGGCGTGACACAGAGCGGCCCTGCGATTCCCCATACTCCAAAATTTGCTCGACAGCAGCCTTTGAAACATCACGCACTGTGATTCCGTAACCGCCTGCGTCAACTTCGCTACTTCCCATGGCGTCGGTAGCAAAAATTGTGGTAGCCAATGGCGCTCCGGCGTCATAGAACAACCACGGTGCTGCGTAGCTCATTGCCAGGACTTCACGCCTGGCACTTGGCCACCACCGAATAATCTCATTTGGGTGGGCATCCAACATCCGATACACTGCATGCGGTATGCTCAACAAGTCTCTGTTTAACAAAGCAGCAAACACCCACACACCAAGCACAGCTCGCAGCACCTCCACGTCTATCCAAACTGGATGTGCAAGCTCCTTCAGGGCATCAGCGAGCAGCACCCATTTGCGATCAGGTAGTTTGAATCGAGCTGGCCTCGCTACGGGCTGGTACCCCACGACCTTCTGGACGTCTGCAGCCTGCACGCGCTCAGGCACAATAAAGCCTGCATCTTCCAGCCCTTCCGCCAGCAGATGCATGACACGATCGGCATGAACGTCTGGGCTGGTCCCTGTTCCTCGTTTAGAATGGAAATGGCCGGTGATGTAGCGGACCCCATGCGCGACCCATAACATGAAATCTTCTTGGCTAAGCGGCTATCTTGTACAGAACTCGTCGGACCAAGTTCTTTATGTGCAAATTCGCGAAGCTCATGAAATACCATGTCAGCAATTGCATAGGCATATTCCGGAGCATACTTGCGCTGATACTGTTGGGGTTCGGAATTATGTTCGAAATGCCCGGGGCACCACAAACCCTCCAAACGAGATCTTACTGAGCAATTTGACGAAATGCACGTGGGGCTCAAGTCCGCACCTCCGAATGCACACTGATGATGATGTGCGCGCATCGCTCCAACACGACCTTCAAACTCTTGCATTTCGGCTGTGGCAAACAAGCTTGGATGTGGATCCTCACCTGGATCATCCGGATGAGCAAGGAAGAACCTTCCACCGGCGGCGCATACAGCTTCAGCCATGGCCAAGAAATTCACAAACAGCGCATTCGTTCTCTTGACCTGTGTTTGCTCTGAAGGATTGAGACCTGGGCATCCCCAAAAGCGTTCTCGGCTTCGCAAAGGTCGATGGCCTGCCACACAATCATGGGATCTTGCATCGCTCAAAGTGCCGCTCGGAGGGCTGCCCCCAATCACGTCAATCAATCCTTCATGGGCTGCAACGAGAACTTTGTGCACAAGCACTGGGTTTGTGAAATCCCACCTGCTGTCAATGGCCACATCGGCTGAAATCACCAGCAAGGTGAAGCCTTGCGCTTGCGCCATGGTTTCTAACCAATCGCAAATGTCACCCTGGCGTCGCTCACCCATGAAGCAAATCAGTACCACTAATACCCGGAATGAAGAAGCTCGCGCACTCCGCAAAATCTCAATCCACTCTTCCGGTGAGCATTCAGAGTGCCTGCCTGCTCGTTGCCCAACGTCTGAAGTCGAAACGAGCGTGGTGTCGGCATCGCTATGCATTGAAAATGCATGCAAATGAGCTAACCCTTCTGCACGCTGACGGTTTGCGCGGTTCACGTTCAAGTGTTGTGACGCAAGCAACGTGATTCCGATGTAGCGCAAATTGATCAGCATAAGAATGTGTACCGAATGAGTACAGCCCATTGGGAGCCGCATGTATTGTGCAGACACCAACGTTGTTATATCAATCTGTGATCGCAAATCGTCTGGGAGGAGGTCCCACACATGAAATGCCCGAATCGGTGGGGTAGCAAACCATGGCCATAACCACTCAGGCGTGAGGACATATGTAAAAGCATTACTTTCATCGCATGCGGAGCATGCCAGATTGTCCGAAGAAACATGTACCCTCGTGATTGCTCCGCCACCTCCCATGCCTAATTCCGCTCTGTACCGCGGATCTTCAAACATGTAGTTGGCGGGGCAGCACATCAACAGCTTTCGAAGTTTGGATGGGTCTTTCTTAGGCACCACGGTGAAGCCTGCCACCGCTCGACAGCTCGTCCAGGGTGCCCAGCGCCACATTAGCTTTGGCAAGTCTGGCCGATGAAAATATGACACAAATTCATCCATGGACCCTCCGATGAAGCCGTACTGCTCGGAAATCTCGCGGAAAATGATGCTGGACTTCCCCGTGGTATCAACCACGTTCGCCTCCAACGCATAATGTTCCGCTTCCTGTGGTGGCAGAGCTTGTAGCATAGGAACGACATGATTCGTCTTGGGTTCATCAATCGACTGGGCCACGATGGGTACCTGATTGACTTTGTTCTTCTTCATTCGGACATACCCGCCGTCAGCTTGCGCAAATTTTACCAGCTGCGTTGCTGCCGAGATGGGCTCCGGAGGAGCCCCGTGGGCGCCTGTCGTGCCTGAGCACCGGCGCGCCTTAGCAAAACGAGCAGCCTCGGAAAGAATAGTAGCTACTGCTTGCTTGACCGCTGGCCTGTCTTGATCAATCGAGAGATTCTTGGCCAGCGATGGCGTGCGGTCTGCAAGAGGTTTGCCAACATCCAAGCCATTCGCAACTGCAATCATCTTGACAGCAATCTTCCACACTTCCATGCGTTTCTGGTGACGGCGTCTGATTCTTGCGGAAGTGCTGTCACTCTTCATCGGCTTGGGTGGAAGAGGCAATGGAGTCAATCTTTGCAGGGACGGATCTTGATCATAGAACTGTGTCCACACGTCGGCCGTCGGAAATGTGCGACACACTCCGTCCCTTTCCGCACTCGATATGGGCACCCATACTCGAGTAGGCCCAGCAGTCTTGTGGGGTGCCCGATGTGGCTGCTGGGCCGGTGCCGGGAGTCAACCCGGCACATGCGCTTTGTCTGCTTTGGTCTTCGGGTGGCCTTTTGCGCCACCCCGGCCTTTGCTTTTTCCAGCTCCCTTGTCTGCCCCCTTCGGGCCAGGCCCCTTCTGGGCTCTTGCCATCTCGCGTCGCTTGTATTCGGCTTGGCTGTAAGCCGATGCTTCGGTCACAAGCCAATGAGGCGCAATATCCGTGCCTGACCCTGGAGGTTGCACTGCCAGAATGCGCATTGCTGCATCTCCATCGCCGGTTCGTTTCTTGTGAACGTAGGCAGCAATTCGTCGCAGTGGAATCTCCAACTGATCATTCGTGCCCAGGGTTGCCAAAATTTCATCATCTGAAGCAGCCTTTGCCAATGCGAAATCAATGGTGGATGCTTGTGTGAATAAATCAAGGTATTCATTGCTGTGTGTGCGAGAATCGATGGGGAAGAACTGGTTAACATAGTCCCGCATGCACCTCACGCCCGATGCCAGTACTGATCTGTAAATTTCTGGGCCTGCGTACTGATGATCACTTGGAAGCTTGCTGTGCCAGGTTGAAATGTCACCGAGTCCAGCAGCTGACGGAGTGATCTTCTGGCCTGTGAAGAACTCGACAGCTGAACCGGCAGCCGGAGCAGGCGTTCCAAGATCTTTCAACTGCTTCAACAGGGCATCCGTCCGCGGCGCGGATATCGTCGCATCTCCCACATAACCGTGGGCCTGCAGTACACGCAATAGATCTCGGTGAAGCGGTTCGTTGCTTTGCATTTGCACCACACCTTCCCAAAACAGCCGCGGCCAATGGGGCACGGTGGACGATTGCTTGGACCATGATTCCAATGCATTGTGCACTTTGGACGCCTGTGCTTTCAGCTGCGTGTCGTCTAACATGACGTTCACATAGTGTTGTCGATCGGGTGCAGGTTTTGTTCCTTGGCACATATCTGGACGAAGAAATGCATCTCGCACAGAATGAACTATTGCTCCCCCATCCAACCGCACACGAGCAGTTCCATCCATCATGCGTTCAAGAATTTCACCTCGAAGGCCGCGCAAGGCGGATGGCACAGCATCTTCTGTGAAACGCACTGCCGCACCTTGCGGAAACTCAATCTCCAGCGTGGGTAAAACCGTCTTCGAAACCATTTCCGAGCTGGTTGGTTGTAACGATTGCTGGGCTGCTGTCAGGGACAAAGCGCCCTCCACGTTGCTGTGTTGTGCGAAAGCACGGAAAGCAGTCATCAGCGCCGGTGCCACCTACGTTCTCGACGTCGGCGTGTTTCAACGGAATGGTGGCAAGCGAGATCAAGATGCTGGTGGTATGGCGAGAGCGTTTGAGATGAAGAAAAAAGAAGAGCAAAGAAAAAGAAAAAGAAAGGAAATAGCCAGCGGTGAGGGCGCCAGAACCTCATGTAGATGTAGTTGTACCGTGTGGATGTTTCTGTTCATCCTCATAGGGTGCTTCTGTTGCACCAAAGCTGACCGGCCCTTCGGGCCCCCTAATAATGCCTCCGCGCCGACGCCATGGGGCGCCATGGATGCAGTTGCTTTGGTGTCGGCACCCCTTTCGTGTATGGACAGGTACAGCCTAAACCTCGTCACACTAATGACTTTGCTAGTCCAGGTATGGCGTTGGGAAGAATGGTCTGTGTTTTTATCAAGGGAACATGTTCCTTTGAAAAACCCAAAGAAAGGCCGAAAAGTGGGAAAAAGCAGGCGTCCTTGCGCTCGCCGCGGCTGGAGGCTGCGACACCGCGCTAGGATTGGCATTGCTCGTGCGCCACGTTTGCCTTTGAACAAGTTGATGCGTGGTGGTGGTGGTAACACTGCACAGGCGAAGAGACAGGAGCAGGCGTTATTAGGAGCTTTGTCCGAGGTCCTTGCTAGGTTCTCGAAGGATCGTCCTAAGCCTGCCGAGCATACTCAACATGCTGGTTCCGATGTGGACTCGTTGCTGATTGGTGCATTGCAGAGATTGCTTGAGCGTGCTCACAAGAATCCAGTTGGCCTGCTCGATCGCCTGTCAAACTTGGTGAAGGTTGCTCGTGAAGGACGTCTGGAGGCCCCTGGTCCCAAGAAGTCTAATCATGCTCGCCCTAATCCCACCTCAAAAGGTGTTGGCAAGTCTGAGACTGTTGGTCCAAAGGGTCCCTCAAGGACGTTTGCCCAAGTGGCTGGTGAAGCCAAAGGCAAAGGCAAAGGCAAAGGAAAGAGCAAAGGTGGTAGCGCCAACCATGCCTCTGCTCCGTCGTTGCCGTTAGGTGCCAAGAAAGTCGAACTTGAACGGTCGTGTTGGGGAGGTCGCTTGACTGAGTGGAGTGTCGTTGTCGATGCGCTTGAAAAAGGCCAAGCTCCGCCAGGTCAGGCCACTTATGCCCCTTCTAAAGACAAGGCGGAAGAAGCCAGGGCCCTTGCTGCCGCTCATGGCTTGAAGTTGGAGTTTGCGTGCTGTGTTATGGACTTTGGTGCGGTTGAGTCGTCGT